GTACTAAATCTCGTGATCTAATGATTATATGCCTACTTAGATGCATTACCAGCTTTAAGGCTGAGTTTCAAAATCCCCCTTCAAAAAAATTGTAACTTGTTCCAAAAAAAAAAAAATTGTAAATGAAGGAATTTGAATTCTCTCTTCTTTGATATTTCTAACCTTAGAACATTTTTAAAAAAAATTATCTGACTTTAGTGAAATAAACATAAAGAACAGATTCTGTGAACAACAACTTTTGAGGCAATATTTTCATCTGGAAATTGCCAGACAAACGCGCCCTAAAGTATAACACAACTACCTCTTAAAGAAAGAAAGCCATGATGGGCCACTATTTGAGCAAACCATTTCCATAATTTTTGATCCCACTCTTCACTTTAATCAATCAATTTAACCAAAGCTTCATGATTATTTCCCATCTTCAAAACACCATTTCTTTTCTTTTACCCACTTTTTGAAGCCTTTTTTTTTCTTTTTTTTTCATTAGAGATTTGTGATAAACAAAAACCTTGCTATAACATCGCATTTGGTGGGGAGAATTTGTTGAGGGAAAGAAAGGAAGTGGAAAGAAAGTCAAAGATTTATTACTTTACATCTCGTTTGATAGAATGGACAAATAACTAAAGATGGGAATTGATGAATGGATATGAACAAAGATTAGCTGAATGTTGCACTGTGAAAGAAAAAAAAAAGGATTCAATTGGATGGCAAGAAGCCCCCTGGGAAGGAAAGCACAGGAAAAGAAGAGGGTGAGGGAGGGAAGGTTTACCTCATCTATTTGAACAAATATTACTTCTTACTCATTTTGTCTCAAATTATCTGTTATTATATTTAATTTTTACATAATTTTAAATTTTATTTTAAAACATATATAATAATTAAAAATATTATTTAATAAAACAAAATTACTTAAAAATAAGCACATATTTTTTAAAGTTACATACAAATTAATTATATAAAAAAAAAATTTTGAGAAGAATGAAGTGCTTCTTAGGACCCGGCTAATGGATGGATTTGGACTCTATTTTTGCCACAATGGAGTTGGGCCATTTTTCTCTAGAATATTTGGGCCATTTTAGATCCATCAAACTTTATTCAAAAAAAAAAAAAAATCCAACAAACTCAACACAATATTGAAGATTTGA